GGGCTCACTCCTCTCCGGTACTCGGGTGTGTCACCCGAGAACCGCCGCCACCAAGTCACCGCAGCTCGGCAGCTACCTGCATTGAGCATCTACCCTCTGGCAATCAGTGCGTGTCATACCTACCGAACGGTCGGATGGTCGGACAGTCATTTAGCCTTTTATATATAGATATACACATACAAATATAAATATGTATATGCTACATATACATATTTCTATAAAAATCATAAACTAGTATGCATATAAAGAAATCACACAGCATTTATTATATACTTCAATAACATATGCCTTTTCCTGGACAGTAAAAAAACATCCATTAGAGTCTATGAAGATTCTGCAGCATAAAGACAAACAGCACACAACAAGCTGAGACTGAACATACTTTGGGAAGAGGTTTTCTGCAGGAAACAGAAGCCAATGCCAAATCTCGGCATCTGCTCTAGTCTCGAGAAAAATTAGTAAAACCTCATTTCCACGAGACAAGAGATTTTATAGATAAATTGATGAGACAATGGGCTGAAAAGAAAAAAATAAAAGGTGGGGAAGGAAGGAGGGAGGAGAGATGGAGGAAAAATTCTAGGATGGAGGTAGTGTCAAATTTAACTCCTTCCCTCTCCCAGTTTCTTGCTGCAGATAACCTCTCCACCTCAACAGGGGAGAATCCTCATACCATCTTCCCCACTACCCATCCCCACCAAGGGTAACCACATGCCAAGCATGTTTTATAGTGTTTATAGAATCTTGAATAAAAATAAGAGAGTTTAGAAAATAATCTGGTACAAATGAATGTTGGTCCCTACCAACTCAAAGACCCTAGGATTCCTAGAACTCATGCTAATTCTAGTAGCTAACACTTGCCAAATGCTTTCTATGGGCCAGACACTGTGTAAGCACTTTATGTGGTTTACCTCACATAGTCATGTAATAACACTATGCGGTAGGTGCTATAATTATCCTGCTATACAAATGAAGAAACTCAGGCAGAGAGGCTAAGTAACTATGTCCAAGGTCAGACATCTGTGATTATAGAGCCAGAATTCAAATACAGACCGTCTAACTCTGGGACACTAGAGAAGAAGTGATGAAGGTACCACCAAGATTTGATATTTAATTTCCCAAGAGAATTTTCTCTCCCCACCCATTAAATGATGCTCCTGTATTTCTTACCAAGCATACCAAGAACATAAAACACAGACGTCTAGTTTTTTTTTTTTTTTATTTCTCTGGCTTATAAATTTGTGAAAATTAAACTAAAATATTCTCTCATGTTATTTGATTCTTTAAAATAAAATAACAAATTTAAAAGCAAGTTTCCCTGGGACCAACCTTCCTTTTGTATAACCTGGTTTACATTCAGAATTTGAAATGGGATATAAAATAGAACATGTTCAATGTATGCACTGTCAGGTCTTTTCTTTCAAGATTCTATAACTAAGTGCTGTAAAACATGTGCTTGGTGTGTGGAACTGAATTTCCATGAGGCTCAGTCATATAAAATTGGACTGATGGAGTAGACATTTGTTACAATGATCCTGCCAAGTAGCTGGGGAGCCAATTTTGACCTTGAATGTCATGTTAAATGTTGTTTATCTGTTTTTAATATTTTATAGGAAAACTGCCAATGAGAACCTTGTTTGCAGATGACTTGTAGGTTTAAATGAACCTAATTCCTTTAAACATTATCTATTTGAAAATAATATGCTAAATAAACATGAATCCTTGGGTTTTATCCATTGAAAACGATATTACTCAAAAATAGGTGTGTTAGGAAGTATATCATGATGTTTTGTTCACCAGAAAGCCTAACTTTTTTTTTTTTACTTCTGTGGTTTATTTTTATTTTCTTTCCTGTCTCCCCCAGCCCTCAGAAATGCCACCATAGAGAGCCCAGTAGCAGTTAGCTCAGGCTCCAATCTTCCCCTTGGGTAAGAAAGGGTGGACAGAAGGGAGCCACTCCTGGGTCACCATGCTTTCCTCCTCCTCTCCTTGAGGTGGTTCTTCTGTATTCTCCTCCTCTTCCTTCTTCTCTGGTGGCTTCTCATAAGCCTTTTCTGAAGGTGTCACTATCATTCCATCCCAGGTAGATATTTCAGAAGCAAGATAGCTGGCATCACCCTCGCCAAAGCTGGGATTGTTCATCACAGCATAGTGCCCGAGTAGGTCAAGGATCCAGGTGTGAGGGGCTCAAAGCCAGGAAAACGAATCCTTGGGTCCTTCAGAAGTCTGATGAGAACTTTGTGGACTGAGAAGCATTTTCTTCAAACCAGCGGGCATGGCGGATGGCTGCTAAGGCCCTCTGCAACACCTTGATGTCCAAATGGAGTTCTGGATCCAGTTTTCGGAGATTGGGTGGCACTGTGGTGATGAGAATCTTCACTGTAGCATCAGAAGAACTGATCTCAAAGCCAGTTTCACTGGTCAGCATGGTCAAAACTTCAGAAAGATCCTGTGCTCTGAGGCTTTCCACGACTTTGTTCCCTAGGGCAGCAACAGCTTCCAACGTTGGCAAAATCTTTAGGATTACCACCAGGTCAGCCACATTGTGTCCTGTAGTCATTGTTCCCTTTTTATATGATCCAACATGTCGTACTTCTTCAATCTGCACTTAAAATGTCCCTGGAGCCACAGTCAAACTGTCAATCACATTGCTTATTTTTGTCACCAGAGAAAGGATAGCGGCCTGATCAGCAGAATTAGGAGCAAGGTCCCGATTTCTTTTCAGCAATGCCTCACTGAAGGAAGATTCATCAGGTGCTGGCTTAACCCGAAGAAAGGCCATTTCACACAAATAGAAACCAAATGGGATGTGGGGCACAAAGGGCCTGAACCCTCCTCCCGGGCCTCCCCAGAACCAAAGCGGGTCAGCATGGTCAAAACTTCAGAAAGATCCTGTGCTCTGAGGCTTTCCACGACTTTGTTCCCTAGGGCAGCAACAGCTTCCAACGTTGGCAAAATCTTTAGGATTACCACCAGGTCAGCCACATTGTGTCCTGTAGTCATTGTTCCTTTTTATATGATCCAACCTGTCGCACTTCTTCAATCTGCACTTCAAATGTCCCTGGGGCCACAAACTGTCAATCACATTGCTTATTTTTGTCACCAGAGAAAGGATAGCGGCCTGTTCAGCAGAATTAGGAGCAAGGTCCTGATTTCTTTTCAGCAATGCCTCACTGAAGGAAGATTCATCAGGTGCTGGCTTAACCCGAAGAAAGGCCATTTCACACAAATAGAAACCAAATGGGATGTGGGGCACAAAGGGCCTGAACCCTCCTCCCGGGCCTCCCCAGAACCAAAGCGCCCGCCACAACCTCGGCCTCTGTCGCCCCTCATGGCACCCTAGATCCTGAACCAAGCCTTGTTGGGGTCCAACCCCAGCAGGTCCAGGGGTTCCCAAATGTGTGGACGGAGTCGGCGAAGAAGAAATGACACGGAGGCAGCATTCAGTTGATCAGCAGCCTAGCAAGGTTTTGTAGCCAGGATCTCCAGCCAGGTTCTGTGTGTATTTTTCAATAAGACTGTACTCTTTCCTTCACAAGAGAATTAAAATTATCCCATAGGAAGAGAAGAAAAACTTCAACATGGAAAACACCTCCAAATAACTTAAAATATAATGTTTGTTAGAGCATGTAACAAACCCTTATTTACATGAAGAACATGAAGAAACACAGGATTTTGTTGATCTGTTTTTTCTTGCCTTCACTAAATAAGTGGGTTGAAGGAATATGTAAGATATGTTGTTTTTAAAGATGTCAGATTATTAACCCGCCTGTTTGGGTTCTGCTGTGGGAGGGTTATTCCTGAGTGCCCTTTGACAAAAAAGCTTGGGAACACCTAATGCGGACAAGGGCAGTACACCACAATGGCCACTAGGTGGCACTTCGGGACAATCGCTTGCTCTGCAGCTAACAACAACCTCCAAGGAGGCGGGGAGGGATATTGGCTATATTTTGATGTAATTACCAGAAGTGTATCCATTAGGATATACAGCAATTAATGCATTTAGATCAACAGGAGTTCCTCTCTAATGTCCCTAAAACTCAAATATTACACATTATCTTTCCAACCTTACTGTCATAAACACACTATTTTTACCTAAATAAGTTTTGCGAAAATAGTTTTGTGGCCTGCTTTTTCAACCTAATATTTTCCGTAGAATTCCATATCCTTCTGCAAAAAGTACCCAATCAGTTACTTAACCAATTTCAGATTTTTGGTCATTTATATACCTTCCAGTTTTTTTGAAATAATAAGTAATGCTATATCGAACATATTTGTCAGCTAAAGGGAGAGAAGCGGCTAAGAAAGGGCCAGAGGGTTGGACAGAAATGGGCTCCACGGCCCAAATGGAAGAACGCGCCCTACACTGGAAGGAAGGGGCGAGTAAAGGGCAATAGAGTGGAATGAGGCGGGAAGTTGAGCGAGTTGGGGCCTGGGTACATTTACTCTTTATTAGTTCCTACAAAATTACTGACCCAACCCCTCTCAGCAGCGCAGCACCCAGCCAGGCGCCCTGTATTATGCAACCGGCGCCGGAAGGTGGAGAGCTGGGGCAGGGACACAGGAGGGGGAGGCCGCCGCGATCGGCTGAGAGCCACGAAGGCGCAGAACCAACGGGAAGAGAAAAGGTGGACGCCGAACCCACGAGCCCCACACGCCCGGCAACACCGGAAGTGGTGCCATGGGGCCCGGCGGCTCAGCCAATGGGCGCGCGATGCGCCGTTCGACGGAGACCCGCGCGGCGCCTGGGAAGAAAGGGCGGCGGCCCCTCGGCGTGAGGCCCTATCCTCCTACATTACTACGCGAGCTACCAGGACAGCCCAGTCAGTGACGGGCGTCCATTCCCGTTCCTCTCCCGCCCGTTAACCGAGCTCAGTGACACCACGCCTCCAGCCAGAGGCCCTCCTCAGGCCCGGCCGCTGCCCTCAGTTAAGATGGCTGACTGGCGGGTGCAAAACCCGGAAGTGGGCGGGGCAGGAGGAGTCTGCGGGGGCGTGTCGGTGGGCGTGGTCTGGTTTCCGAAGCGCGGGAGGGGTGTGGCCCGCCGCCCTCCTGGGCTCTGGGTCAGTGAGGCGCGCTCACCGCCGCGGGTCACCACTGCGCCCGCGCTCGCTTCCTGATCGCCCTCAGAGGCTCCGAGATTCGTCCCAAGTCGGGCTGCGGACCTCCGGACCCTGCGCGGTCAGAGCGGCGATGGAAGGCGCCCGGGAGAAACCCCCGGAGCCTAGCTCCCCTGCCCTCGGGTCCCGAGAGCCTGCCGGCTTGGCCAGGGGCCCAGAGGTGCTGCCTCCCGAGGAGTCAGAGGGCTGCGCCCGGCCCCCGGAGACGGCCCCCAAGAAACTCTGTGGATACTTAAGCAAGTTTGGCGGCAAGGGGCCCATCCGGGGCTGGAAGTCCCGCTGGTTCTTCTACGACGAGAGGAAATGTCACCTGTATTACTCGCGCACCGCGCAGGATGCCAACCCCCTGGACAGCATCGACCTCGCCAGTGCGGTCTTCGACTGCAAGGCGGACGCCGAGGAGGGAACTTTCGAAATCAAGACTCCCGGCCGGATTATTACCCTGAAGGTAAATGCGGCCGTTTCCCCCCCTTGAAGCAGGGATGGGCTCCTCGGGCGCCGTGGGGCGGTCACAGTAAACTTAGCAGGAAAAACGATCCCTGATCCTGATCGCCCAGTGAACGCTGGGTGTCCAGGCCTTTGGGATTTCGGACGCGCATTCACGCCCAGCTCCTCGCTGGGTTCCACGACAGAGGCAGGAGTGAGGGGTCCGCAGTCCGGGTCAGGAAACTGGTCAGAGAGATGGAGTGACCGGCCCCGCCTCGGGCGCCCAGACAGCGTGTGTGGGGCCGGTTCCTGGGGTCTCATAGTCCCACTTCCTCTCGGTACCAGTACCGCAGCAGAACTTAGGGGGCTTGGGGCTGACGGATAGTCAGCGTAGGAGCTTGCAGTCCTTTCTCTCGAGACCTAGATTCCAAATCACTTTCCTTGATGTTCTGGCCAGAAGGAATGGATGCTGAGAAAATGTTGGCAGGGTTTCACTGATCCCAGCCCGCTTCCCCTCCCGGTAGGTTTTGTGTAACCCTTTTTGACCCAGAGAGCCTGAAAGGGTGGGAAGGCCATGTGCTTTGACGTCAGACCGGACTGGATTCAAATTCTAAGTCAGCTGCTTACTACCTGTATGACCCTGGGCAAGTCCCTTAACCTCTCAGCATGTAGGTAGTTTGTGAGATTTAAAGCAAGATATGTGAAGCGTTTGGAACAGCAAAGGCGCCTACAAATCGTTGAAATACTCCCAGCACCTAGAATACCACCTGGAACCTGGTGGGTGCCCAGTCAGTGTTTGTTGGGTAGACGCACTTGGTGGTGGAGCCAAGAGGAGGTGCCCCGGAACTTAATTGGAAAGACAGCTCTGCACTTTGAAATAGTTCCAGGATTCACGCTCTGAATTACGAATGTGTCAGGAGACAGCCTTCCTCACCGCATCCCATCTTCCCAGCCCTCCACCCTTACCTCCAGCCAACTGGGCATCTGTGGAGGGCCCTGGATGCAGCCCACAGCCTCCGCTCTCCTTTACAACCAGGCCAGCATGGGGAGACCAGGTAAAATAATGGAAACCAGGAACTCCAGGCCAGGCAAGGCAGGCATTTCACAGGTCATGTGGTTTGCAGGTGCCTCCTCCCACAGGTGGAATGCTGTCTACAGGGCCTCCGACACATGGCTTTTACTATTCCATTGATCTGTGTTCAGGCCTGGCTCTGTGCTAGGCACTGGGTATGGAGCCAAATTATACCTACCCCCTGGTGCTCAAACAGCTTAAGATGTGGTGAGAGAGACTGACGGAGATTGGCACGCACAGTAAAATGTTCTGTTAGAGACACAGGAAGTCTGTACCAGAAAAGTGTGGTGACAGGATGGGTCAGGTCCACTAAGTAGGAGGGTCCATCCAGAAAAGACATCGTAGAAGGGATGATATCTGAATCCTGAAAGAGGACATCAGTTTTCTACCAGCAGACAAGAGGGAGAATGTTATTCCAGGTCAAGAGACCCTCATGAGCAAAGGTGGGAAATCATGCTACCACCCAGTGTCCAGGCAGGTTCCAAGAGCTTGTGGTACAGAGGGAGCCAAAAGATGGAATGGGAGGACAGAGGCCCACGGGAGGGCAGGGCATTATGAGTTATGACAGGGAGTGTGGGCTTTGTCCTGGGGGCTGTGGGAAATTGTCAAAGAGCTTTAAGCAAGGAAGCACCGTGATAGTAGAATGCTTCGAAAGCTCAGTCTGGCTATTGGGTAGAGAACAAATTAGGAGAAGGCAAGGCCGAGGGTCAGGGAGTCCATCAGGAGGTGATCACGAGAGAATGATGGCTGAGCTAGAGCAGTGACAGAGTGAGACAATGGCTAGGGATGTGAGAGGGGAGTCAGGGAGGCTCCTGTAACTGACTGATTGCCTGGTTGGTCCAGTCACTGATAGGAGTTGAACCCAGGATGAGGAGACAGTAGGACATCGGGTGTCTGTCATCCTTGGTAGACTCTTAAGTTCTAAGAGGATAGGGGCATGTGTGTGGGCTTACCACAGTATCTCCAGTATCTCCCTCATGCCCTGACACAGATAGCAGGTGCTCAATATATACTTGTCCAGTGATTTAATAAAGTGGGTTTGATTTTGGGCTGGACCTTGTCAGTTCAAGGTCATGGTGAAGCCCTGGGAAGGCCTGCGGTCTCTCAGGGAAAGTGTATAGAAAGGGAAGATGGTAGGCATCATTTTATCTTATTTGATATCTTTCCGACAGACCAAGGGCCTCTTTCTTGGAGCCCCCATCGCCTCGTGCACACCTCATCCGTGAGCCTCTTAAAAGGAGGAGCTTGCCCTGGTTGCCCGTAGCCTGCTGCTTTTCTCATGTGGCCTTGATTGTGAGCAGCTCTGTGAGACTCACCATCCACTCCGAGCGAGCTGCCCAGCTTCTGTGCCCAAACAACGGCAGGCCTTTGTACATAAGCCACATCTCCTGGCCATAAACTACAACAAAGCTCTGGGAGTGAGAGAAGCAGGAGACCCAGGGTCTGGGACCAACCAGAGCGGCTTGAGAGCCTTAGTTTCTCCATCTGTAGAAGAGGCTGAGCACTCCTGCCCGGCCTCCTCCTGGAGGATCTGGTGACCCAATGGATGTGAGAATAGGTGTTTGTACCACCCAGTGGTGGGAGACCAATCAGCATCAACCATTAACTGTTTGGGGGGTGCCTGGAAGGTGCCACTTTGTCGTGATGTGCATATGGCTTTCCAGTCCCCAATCATATGCATGACTTCAGTGCATCCCTAAAACAGAAGGGACTCTCCATTCCACACAAAGTCAGCTAAGACATTGAGATGTTGCACAAGGAGATAGAGACAGTGATGGTATCATGGGCCCCACTCAGGGCAGAATTTTAAAGCTCTTACCCTCTCTCTTAGCACCTCCAAATTCCTTTACCCAGTGAGCACATTTTGAGCACCTACTGTATGTCAGGTACTATGCTGGCCACTTTACCTTCCTTACCTCATTTCATCCTCATAACAGCTGTCCTATGAAATGAGTGTTATATCACCATAGTACAGCTGAGGACATTGAGGCCCAGAAAGGTTAAGGAACCTCTAAGTGGGAGGCCAGAGCCTGATTACCTTCTATGGCCAAGTAGCAGGTGGTGTTTTCTAGGTGGGCACCCAGCCACAGTGAAATTTTTTTCTGGGAAGGAAAGTTACCAGGCTTCCCTTGACCTTCCCACATCCCATATCCAGTGCCACCCTGTGGGCACAGAGCCTTCCTTGCCAACTAACCCTTGTGCTTCTCAGGCCGCCAACAAGCAAGTGATGCTGTACTGGCTGCAGCAGCTGCAGATGAAGCGGTGGGAGTTCCACAACAGCCTGCCTGCACCTCCTGTCGTCCCTGACGCTGCCCTGGCTGGGAATGAGCCTGCCCTGCGCCTTGAGCTAGGTACCCAACGGGCTCACCTCCTGTGCACACCCAGGGCTCTTGGTGATGAAGCCTCACCCCTCCTATTAGGAGTGGGTGGGAGGAGCCCTCTGCTAAAGAAGCAGAGAGCCAGGGATGTGACTCAGGATCAGTTAGGGCACCCATATAGTGACAGGGGTAAGAATATGGGCTCCCAGGCCAGGCTGCCTGGTTCACATCCTAATCCTGTGTGGTCTTAGGCAAGATGTTTACCCTTCCGAGCTTTAGTTTCCTTCCCTGTAAAATGAGGTCAGTAAAGAAATTATACTTACTTCTTAGGGTTTTGGTGAGGATTAAATGAATCCGTATACCTTAAGTGGTTGGGACAATGCCTGCACATTGTCAGTTCAATAGCTGTCAGCTATTATGATGACTATAATGGGAATGTCTTAAGAAATGAAACTTTAACAGAGTTGCTCTGAGATAGGTTAATGAGAAGTTGCAGATATTGTTACTGCTGCTTTACACAAATGCGTTTGTGCTGTGAGTTGTGTAGACCAGAGTTCGTTGTATTATCCCTGTTCGCATAAGCCAGAATCCTTCACCCCCATGTGGCCCACAGATACGTTTCTTGATCCCAAATCCTACAACATCCCAGCAGGGAGGAGTCCTGGAGATCACACCCTCCCGCCCCATGCTGAAGCCAGGAATATGATTGGCAGATTTTAGAATCCAGACTGACCCCCCACAGCTGCCCCTGCAGGAGCCCAGAGAGTGAGTTCCAGCACAGATCTGCAGCACGTCTAAGATGCCTCATCCTTAATTAACAGGGAAGCCAAATGGGTGAGGGCAGGACTGTGGCCAAGTGATCCTAGACCTCCACACCCGGATGTTTTTCATGTCCCAAACTGAGCTCATCTGCCCTTGACTCTTCTCCCCTGGTTTTCCTTCCCCCATTTACCCAGTTGCTCCAGTAACCAGGAGCCACCCAGATTCTTCCTGCATCTCAGTTAGCCAGTCGTCAGTCACCAGCACTGGCCTCGCCTCCCTGTGGCCTAAACATCAGACTTAGGCCCCCCTTCACTGTTGTCGCCTTGGGTCAGGCCTCAGCTCTGAAAATCATAGAGCAGCCTCCGCTCTGGTGTCCCCATGTCCCAGCCTGCCCCTCTGCCCATCTCCTCACTGCAGTCAGAGTGAACTTTCTAAAGTGACAGCCTGAGCTCAGGCTTGGCTCAGTGGTTGCACATCAACCTATGAACCAGGAGGTCAGGGTTCAATTCCCAGTCAGGGCACATGCCTGGGTTGCAGGCTCAATCCCTAGTGTGGTGACAGCCTGAGCCCCACTCCCCTTTCCTGGCTGCTCACCATGTCCCAGACCCAAATACAATCCCAGCTCTTTCAGTCCCAGCACCAAATTCAGTCCTTCCTGCTCTCACCTGTGTCCGCTGCCCCAGCACCTGCCTTGTGTCTTATGCTTCAGAGTGCCAGAGGCATCTCTGCTCTCTTCTCGATGGCCAAGCTTTAGTGTCCCCTCCTGCTCTTGCTAGCCTCCTCTTGGGAGCCTTCTGGGACTTTGTCAGCTGGACTCTATGAGTCCTCAGCACTTCCAGACCATCCTCAAGGCCTGTCGCATTGTGTTCTAAGTAGAGTGTCCTTGTCAATCCCTGCCCCCTAGCCCTAAAGGGTGGGGGCTGTGTCTTTGTCACCTATATCCCCATTACCTGGCGCCCTGCCTGCCACATTGGATATTTGTTGCATGAGTGTATGAGCAAATACATTGAACTTTATAATTAAATGAGGAAAGGAATGTAAAGCCTTTAGCATAATGCCAGGCACATAATTAATGCTCACTACATGGTATCTGTCCTAATAATATTATTATATGTGTACATGTACACTGTTATTATAACAACTGCATCTTTTTATTGTTAATAATCATCAGTGATTTCTCCTAAGAACCTTCTGAGTGTTTTATGATTGTAAGGGCTTTCTTTGAGGAAGGTTTATTTTTGCTTCTACATTTTTATTCTACCCTCCACCCCCCACCTCCCAGAGCTAAACAACCCTGGCTGTGCTGGAAACTGCACGTTGTGTCTGAGTTGACACAATTCCCCATCAGCCTCGGACCAGATGCAACAAGAAGCCCTCCCTGACTTGAGATGGGAAGAACCAGGTTATCAGTTTTGGGATCCCACAGGTTCTCCTGCTGTGCTGAACCCTTTCCAAGTTCTTGAATTCTGGGGTTTTGGTTCAGCACACTCGGCGGGCCTCTTCTGGGCCAGCTCCTGCTGTGGGCATGGGGGCAGGGGAGTGATTGTCATGACCAGGGCGCCAGTCTCCCAAGGAGGACACTGGGGCGATGCAGGAAGCAGGCATGTGGGCTTCCCCTCTGAAGCCTTACTCATCCTGCAGCAAGCCCTCACTGTCCCGGCCAGGACCCCTGTGGAACCTTCCCCAGCTTAACCAGAGAGACATTCCTGGAGTCTTGAGCAAGCTGGCAGGCCATGGGTTGGCAGGCTGGAGCAGGCTGCCCCACCTCTCCAGTGCCTCCTTTCCTGGGAGGAAGCAGGGGCCTGCCGCCAGGGCAATGAAAACCTACCAAGTGGCGTCTGACTGAGTCACAGGCGCTGCATGTTGTACAGTGTCTCAGGACTGCCTTTGAGTACAAGGCACGTTCTCTACAGCTTTTACGCATTCACACCTTAATTTTATATTTTCTCTGAACATTGGTCTCCATAGATCCCAGGAAGATCAAGGGGAAGCCAACGGATTGATAATAAAGACATGTTGCCAAAGTAGAAAACATCTCACAAAGCACTTTTATAAATGTTTATCATAAAAATATACATACCACTTACACTGTTGTAACACTTCACTGCATCATCTATTTATCATCACAACACTCTTAAGAGATTTTTACTGTTGTTTTCATTTTACAGAAGAGGAAACTGAGGGTCAAAGGGGCTTGGGTCAAACAGTAAGATGTCAGTGCTAAAATTTGAACCCTAGTCTGTAGACTCACACAAGCACGCACCCCATTATCAAGCACATGAGCCATGTGCCAGGGCCCTCCAGGAAACCAATGGCCTGCCGGTCTAAACCCTGATTGTTAGGTGATGGCTTCTTCCTACTGGTAATGGGACAGCCTCTACAGTTCAGGCAAAAGGAGAATTACGAGTAAATGCTGTTGAAAATTTTTTGTATGGTCACCTCACTGAGGGCACGTCTCCAGGCTGGAGAGGGACCCAGAGGCCCAGACCAGAGTCTTGGGTCATTTCTGTTTCCTGAAGGAAGTGCTAACCTTCACTGTGGCATCACCATCATGTGCCTCTCATCCTTTGGACACCCCCTTTGCACTGGGAGCTTCTGCTTTCCCAGGCACCCTCCCTTCTTAGTACTGTCTCCTTGTCAAAAGTGCTGCTGTAATAATGAAAAGTGAGGAACGGTGTTGGATCCATGTCTCTGCTAGCAGCTGTGCCACCTTGGCCACAAAATTCATCCTCTCTGAGCTGCTGTTTCCTCATTGGTGAAACCAACACCGTGGTGACATTTAACCCCAAGATGTAGTTCTGTGTGGCCTCAGTAGATCTAGAGCCACAGGTGGAAGTTAATGGAAAACATATTGGCAGTTAGGGAAGTACTTGCCAAGACATTAAAATCTTAGACCAATGGTAATTTTTTTGTTTGTTGTGATTGAAGGAGAATGAAGATGGTTAAAGTATTGATAAGCAAGGAGACCTTAATTATTTTGAATCAGCTCAAAGTCTTAATCAAAGACTCCTTTGAAAGATGTGCGTCCACAGTATGGGGCTTTATGGTTTTCTAAACATTTTCATATACTTTAACCCTGAAGGAGACAGTGTAGGGTGGCTGTCCAGTTTTTAAAATATGGAACCTGAAGCAGAAAGAGTAAAAATGATCAGCCCGGTCATAGCACCCTCCCAGCAGAAACATGGTTTGGCCGTAGGTCAGGCCCTTTCTAGTCAGCCAGGTTTCTTCTGGCTCCTGCTGGAACCCCCAGGGGGCTCTGCCATTCCAGCCAGATCTGATCCCTTAGCCACCCCATCCTCTTTGTCCTTATCACCTCTTCCTCTGGGACCCCTTCCCCCACTCCTTCTGCAGGTCCAAATCAGCTCCAGCCTTCCAGGCCGTCGAATGCCCTTCCTCCAGGAAGTCTTCCCTGACCTGAGTTAGAAGGAATTTGTCTCCACCTCCCAGAACTCCCAGCACTTTGGCTGGCCTGCCCTCCAGCTTCCACCCAACTGGGCTTCCTGAAGCTGCGCTTTAACCTGCTCCTGAAGCTGGGAGCTTCCTGTGCCTTTGCTTATCTCACTTTCTCCAGCCCCACCTGGAAACTTTAGGGTAGACGCCCAAACAGCTGAGAAAGTAAATTGAAGGGAGGAACTCAAAAGAATGAGTGGGTGTGGCCAGGTACCAGCCAGGCTGCGGGATCTGAAAGAGCCTTTTGAGGATTGACAATGTGTTATTTGCCAAGTTAAACTGCAAAGTTTATTTTCAAGTAGATTGAGCAACTCTCCCAGGCCCCCACCATTGCATTTAATGTTCTTGCAGATGCAAGGCAAAAATAAATGTCCTCTACCCCTTCGCCCTCTCAGTAAGAGGGCCCCAAGTAAAAGGTGTCTGCTGCCCTGTGCGTCTCAGGGCTGCCTCATCAAGATCATGCCATCTCCAACTGGCCTTGGTTCTCTTCGACTTCTGGTAGCACTCAAAGCTAACTTCTGAATCTTTCACCTCCTCTCTCTTACATCTCAAATAATGTTTCATTAGTCTTGAAACCTTCCTTAATATTAAGCCTTTAAAGTACTCACTGCATAAGAATCACTGTTTAAGCAGGACATTTGGAAAACATAGAAAAGTAGCCATAAGCTTACCACCCAGAGACAGCCAGTGTTAGCACTGTTATGACCTCAGCCTGCCTCTTTTTTTTTTTTTAATGTAAATGATTTTCTGATTAAATAACAATACAAAATGCTTTACTTTGCTTTTTGGTACTCAGTATTGTGACCCTAAAATGTCCCTGTGTTGTAAAATCTGTTTATTAGTACCTACTTTTGATAAATATATATTATTTCCTGTTTACTATAGAAAATTTGGGGGAAAACATTAAACTATAATGAGTAGCCTGCTCACTTCTAATCCCAGCATGCAGTTCTGACCACTGTTAAGATTGCCAAGTATTTCTTTGAGACTCTTCCTATACAATGGAGATCATACTATGACCCTGATTTTTATCTGGCTTTTTCAACCTTAGAGTATGTACCATGCACATTCCCCATGTTCTTAAGCATTCTTCCTTAGCATCATTTTAAATGGCTGAGTAAAATGCCCCTGTCTGAAGGCATCATGACTTATTTAACCTTTCCCCAGATCTTACTTGATGTTAATTTCAGTTTGAGGCTAAACAGTATCGGGATGAACCTCTTGGCTCATAAAGCTCTGTCTGCATTTCAGACAACTTCTTTAGGGTGGATTCTCAGATGTAGAAATATTTGCAGTTCTGCTTTTTTTTTTTAATCCTCACAGAGGATATTTTTTCCATTGATTTTTAGAGAAGAAGGGGGGGGCAGAGGTACATCGATTGATTGCCTCCAAGGCCAGGATCAAACCTGCAACCCATGTATGAATCCAACTCAACCCTTCGGTGTGCCGCCTGACACTAACCACTGAGCAAAAACATCCAGGACTGTTCTGCATATTTTTAATGGGTTTCTAGCAAGGCTGTTGCAGCAAAATGCATCATTTTACTGGTTGTAGAGCATTCAGTGAACCTCCTGCCTCTTTGGCTACTGTTAACCCACAAGGAAGGCTTGCTCAGGCTGACTCCCACCTGCTCCCAGTGGGAGCTGAGCCCATAGCACCCACCCGTCTGGTCTTTCCAAGTGCAATGACCCAACTGGTGATTTCCCTTTTCTTTGTTCCCCAGAGCAAGAGGAGGCGGAGCTGGAGGAGTTCCTGCACCCTGTGAAAACGCCCCCTGGACTTGTGGGTATGGCAGCCGCCTTGCAGCCAGCCCCAGCCATGCCCTTGGCCCTTCAGAATATTTCCCTCAAGCACCTGGGAACCGAAATACAGTAAGTGCTACTGGGGCTGAGGGGCTGGCCAAGATGCAAGTAGCCCTTCTTCAGAGCTCACTGTGATGTGGGGTGATTCCCAGTAGGGAGAAAGGCCTGGTGGGGAGGGTTTAGGGCAGTGGTTCCTAACGTGGGGCACATACCCCACAGGGGGGCATCTTGATTTTTTAGGGGGGCAATTAGAGAATGAGTTGTTAACAGTGAATTTTTGGCATTTCTTATGGTTCTAGGGGCCTCATATACAGTATATAAATATATATTGTGACATTTATGCATTTCAGTTCTTTATTATATCTTTTGAAACTTTATTTGCTATTTTTTTCATATCACTTCATATTATTATTTTTTAACAATTTCTTAGTGATTTCTTCCTCAGTACTTCAACTGTCCTGTCATTCTTTTATTTTTCTCTTTCATGGATGCCATGTTCTTTGGAAGTTTGTTTAGACCAAGTTAATGTCCTTTTAGGCTTCCTCCACGTGACTAGGAGTTCACTTGGAGATGCTTAGGTGGGGCATGGCCAAAAAAAGGTCGGGAACCACTGGTTTAGGGGCTCTATTTTCAATTCATGCTATTACTTAAAAATATTACATTCATTGTTCTGATTTTAAAAGTAGTGCATATTCTTTTTAGAAATTAGAAACATCCCAAAAGATATAAATTTAACATTATCCATATTCCTGTCACCCAGACAAGCATTCTTAGCATTTACTGTACCTCTTTCCTCCTCATTTTCTATACACATACATGCATAATTGATATCATGCTGAATGTAATGTGGTGATAGCTTCATAAATGTCTATACATGTCAAACACATCAAATTATTCACTTTTAATGTGTACTTTATTAGATGCCCACATATCAGCTACTTTTTCATTTAATGGTGTATTATATATACAATTTCCCATCGGCAGGCTTTGTTTTAAATAGGTTATAAAAAGATAGCAATATGGCCTGGGCTTTGGAGTCAAGTTGCCTGGATATGTGTTCTGGCTCCACCAGTCATGGGCTCTGGTATCCTTGGCAAGTTGTTTGATGTTTCTGTGCTGCACTTAAATTGTTAGTAAATATAAAATTCAGCAGTGCTTGCCTTGTATGGTTAGTGCAGAGGTTAACTGGTCAGTGCATGCAAACTGCTTTCGAACTGTGCTTGGCAATGGGTAGGCACTTAAATACAGAGTGGGGCAAAAGTAGGTTTACAGTTGTTCACATGGAAAATAATATAATAATTTATAAATAATAATACAAGAACAAACTTTCACATACTCACAACTGTAAACCTACTTTTGCCCACCCTGCTGCTGCTATTGTTGCTCTTACTGAAGAAATGGAAGCTTTTGGGAATTCAGACTATACCCAGTTCTGATCTGTTTGGGTGCATATTTTTTGTGAGGACTTCATACAAACTGGACCTCTTAGAAAGCAGAATAGATTGTTCACTGGACTCGGATCAGAGACCCTGGCTCTGTGTGACTCAGGCCTCGCATTTCCCTCGGTCAGCCTCAGAGTTTGAGTTGGTGTGGGTAACTAGAAGGGTAGTGGTGCTATTCCCAGGACAGAAGCAGGTTTTAGGGGAAAGACAATGAGTGTTCTTTAGGGCCTAGAGGTTGACTACCCAACAGGCACTGGGTGGAGGACCTGGAACTCAGGAAAACAATCTGAGCTAGGGAGAGACTTGGGGAGTATGGGGCATGGTTGAGCCCCTGAGACCCCCCAGTGTGAGTGGACAAGAAGGGTGCCCTGCTGGAGATCTTCTCTAAGGAGGAGCTGAAGAGAACTGTGTGCATTGTGAGCCTAATGGGAGGTTTGAGGGGGCCTGAGAACTTCAGCCATCCCGCTGGTACACACTGTATCCAGGATGGTCTCACCAAGATTAAGCCAGGTTCGTGCCTGATGAAGGCCACAAACAACAGAAGTGAAACAGAACATGCAGAGACCAAGAAAGGAAGGAAGTTTCAGGGATTAGTCAGTTACCTCTTTCCTGACATTTGCAATAACCCACATAAAATGCAAGGGAACATTGCACGTGTCCTGGGGAGAGCCCAGTGAGTTCAAGGTTGCCCTTGTCTCCTGTATCCCCTGGCCTGGTCTTAGAGTCTGTACTTGGGTCTGCCATGAGCCAAGGTCATAGTCTGAGCAAGGGAGTAAGGGAGCTTCCAGAGCACCATACTGGGTGCTTCATACTCTCACTGAGTTGTCTGTTAAGTTCTCAGGCTATGGAGTCAGATGTCCAGGTCTAATGCTCAGCCCCACCATTTACCATCTCTGTGGCTTTGGTTACTTATCCTCTCTGAACCTCAGTTCTCTTGTGCAATGGAGGTGATAATAGTACCCACTCCACTGGGCTGCCATGAGGATTAAATGCATTGAATGTATGTGTGTGAGCATGAAGTGAGTTGTATTTCTAGTGTTTAGCTTAGAGCCTGGTCTGTAAAGGGCCTCGTTGTGAATACATTCATCATCCCCACTGCAGGTGAGAAAACCCAGACTCAGAGAAAGGATAAGTGGCTTGCCCAAGGCTTTCTTCCCAGGACAAGCCTTTATGACCACTACCTTTCTGCTGACCAGGCATTTCAGACCTGGAGCTAAACCTACACAGAAAATCATCTATGAACTGCTCCAACCCAAGTCAATAAATTTATGAAGTGGAGTTGCCTCTTCCAAGCACAATAGTTTGGCTGGGTAGTGGCCACCTGGTCTGTGTCTGTTACTGCCCTGAGGTTGGGGTTTCTATGCCTCTTATATCCCAGGGATGACTGTGAGCTCCTAGACATGTTGGGGAAGCTGCAATCCCTGGGCAAGGGGGAGTATGGGCAGCCGTGATGGTCACCCCACCCAGCCACTTCCTCTGGCTGTAGGGATGTGTCTCTGGGTCTTCTCCAAGTCATGTGGCTGTGGTTTGTGGTTTGTGAGATACATTGTCATGGAGCTCAACACAGGACCCAGCACAAAATGCTGCTCAGTAAATCATGTCCCTCATCATTCTTTTTAATATGGCCTACCACCTTTTATTTTAACATAGAGAAAATAAGAACTGGGAAGGTAAGTGACAAGCCAAGGAGTCAGGGGCTTCTTAAAATAGGACCTTAATAATAACAGAGTAAAAGGAGTCAGAGACCAAATTTTAAAGTCTGATAGAGTGTTGACTTCTAATTTCTTCTCTGTTCTTAATTTAACTTATTAATTTCTCCATTAAAGTAAAATCTCATTTTTATTTTGGACCCAACTATACCAAGAAACTGGATTTTCTTTTAAAGATAAGTTTCAGATTAAATAATTATTCTTTGAAAAAAATCAACAAACTTTTAGCTAAACAGACCAAGAAAAGGCATGACTCAATTACTAATATCAAGAACAAATGGGAACAATACTACCAACCTTACAAAAATAACAGGATTATAAGGGAATACTAAGAACAATTATATACCAACTAGTTAGATAATTTCAATGAAATAGACAAATTCCTAGAAAGACACAAATTATTAAAACTGAATCAAGAAGAACTAGAAAATCTGACTAGACCTATAACATGTAAGGAGATTGAATTAGTAATCAAAAAACTATCCACAAAAATAAACAAAAACAACATCTAGGACCAGATAACTTCACGGGTGAGTTCTACTGAACATAAAGAATTCTTCACAAACTCTCCCCCATAAAAGAAGAGGAGGGAACACTTCCCAATTCATTTCATAAGGTCAGTATTACCATGACACCCAAACCAAACAATGGTATTACAAAATTCTTTGAATACCCAGAACCTTCACCTAGAATTTCTTTGTGTTTTTTCTAACACACCTCTTCAGAGATGGTATGGATTTTCAGGAGTCCCAACTTTATGTAAAATTTCAATTTCAACTGTACACTTTGTCTAAACCTTGTTTTCTTCCCTCCCTTGCAACCAGGGCTCTAGGTTTTTGGTATCAACAGTTAATCCCTAATCACAAGAAAAAAATCTGTATGTGTGGGTAATGGATGTTAACTAGACTTATTGTGGTGATCATTTCACAGTATGTACATATATTGAGTAAATATGTTTTATACCTGAAACAAATATAATATGTCAAACATATCTCAATGTAAAAAAAAACAAACACCAAAAACAACAAACAGTTGATCCTTGAACAGATTTATATCCTAGTCAACTCTCACAACAATAATGCTGCAAATACTTCTAAATTCAGTGCCATGTTAATAAGCATTTATTTTGCACCCATCTTTTAGGTGGAGGAGAAAGAGCGAATACTGGCATACTTTGTTTTGTTACACTTCACAGGTACTGCATTTTTTACAAATATAAGTTTTGTGGTAACCTGCATTGAGCACTTGTCAGTGCCAATTTTCCCGCAGACTCAACATTTTTTAGCAATAAGATATTTTTAAATTAAAGTATCTCCGAGTGCAAACTTGATCACTAACTCTGCATGATGTTGCAGGAGTGAAGGGAACCACGTTTGCTAAAGAAATTGTGGTGATAAAAGTATATTAGCCTCAGAAGCTACTGAGGTGGTTCATTGTATCCTAGTACAGTATATAAAAAAAAAAAGTGTCTCCGAGATATGCCTGTATTTGCTGAACAGTAATCTAATCTACCTGGTGATCTTTCTCTTTCCTTCCCATTTGAGTTTCACCTCCTTTTTCGTATTTAGTGCCTGAGGACTTCTCTTCCTTTCCTGGGAATTCAGCTAAATATTTGTGAAATATGTTTTGTATTTATCTAGCATCTAGGTGTTTTGGAATAAGGGTTTTTCAGAGTAATTTGTCCCCCACGTGGGGGTGATATAGCAGAGCCCGGATTCCAGCACAGATCTACAGACTTTCGCATCCTCTTTTTTGACCACGCTATTGCTACCCTTAATTAAGTGACTCTCCAGTGCAGTGTTTTCTACCTGTTGACTATGACCACAGTGGGAAATGGCTCAGTACACACACACACACACACACACACACACATACACACACACACATGTTTCACATATTATTAACCTTCTCTAAATGGAGTACATTCACATGTTTTTCACGTTGTTTTTTTAAATGCTGATCATGATACTAAACTGATTTTATAATCTACCAATGGTTTATAACTTGCAGTTTGAAAAACACTGACCTATAGAACTCCTTTAATCATTTTCTCTTCCTTGTTAACTAATTTTGGAATATGTCTACTTTCATATCTTTGCAAAGGGAAACTAAACTCAATTGAACTGTCTTTTTATCTGACACTATGACTTCCTCTGTAGTCTCTGGTCCTAAGTCAGCCTTTGGTGCTACCTACAAACCAAACAGGTATTGAGATTGCACTCAGGGCACAGGCTACCCCAGTGCCAGGTGCCAGCAGGCATGCAGGTATGTTAGTGCCCGGTTCGTGAAGAAAAGACAGCCTAGGCAAGTACTTGGTCACAAGGTGGCCCATTCATGGAGCCACTGATGATATCTGAGCCAGGTAGTTACAAGACCAGATGAAGGTTTTAGGAAAGTTAGTTTGGCAAGTCCATTCAACATTTATTCAACACATACATAGCAAGGGCCCTCTATATTTCAGGCACTATTCTATGCATTCAAAGTACTTCGGTGAACAAAACAGACAGACATCCCTACCTTCAATGGCTTATACTCCAGCTGCAGGATTGGGGCAGGGGCGTCAGGCTTATATTGTTTATAAGAAACATTGTGGACGTGATAAGCAATGAAATGATGAAAAGCAGAGGGGTGAGGGGGATCGGGAGTGGCTCGGGTCGGGTGCATCATGCAGGGTGCCTGGAGTCTCGCAGACTGGTCAGGCCATGCCTGGGGGTAGGATACAGCCTGAACTCTAGCACTGACAGTGGGGAGGGGAGGGGCAGAGTGGCAGGGCTGTCAGCCTCATGCTCCTCTGTTTCCCTTCAGAAACACGATGTACAACATCCGAGGCAACAGGCAGGCCCAAGGAACAGGCCATGGACCTCCAGGGGAAGATCCTCTACCGAGCAGCGAGCCTCAGCTGGAGGAGCGGCCCTCATCCCCTGACCCCAGTGCCCCAGGTGAGCCTCTGCCCAGGGCTGAGCTGCCTTCAGAAACTGAGTGCCCATTTCTCCAGAAACCAGCATGCGTGCTTTTCTGTCAACCAGGGGACTCTCCGGGGCACTCCTTCTGGCTTTATGGATCTAGTAGCAATGATTGATTATTATTGTTGTTGTGAAATATACATAACATAAAATTTAACCCGTTTCAGGGGTACAGTTCAGTGGCATTAAGTACATTTACATTCTTCTGCAAACACCACCCCCATCCATCTCCAGAACCCTTCATCTTCCCAAACTAAAACTCAGCCATGATTCTTGAAGTAATAAAGGAAAATCTCACTTTCTTACTTTTTTTTTAATTTATAAAGAAAGAATATAAAAATGCCTTTCTATGGCAATTAAAATTCGTCATCTCTGCCTGAAGAACCAGAGCAGATGGCCTTTAGGTCCCATCCAGCCATTACATAGCATTTGATTGTTTCTTTCACAAAATGTGAGTGACCCACACCATGGGGGGGTGGGGGTGGGGCGGGCGGAGGTTGGTTTCTTCGATTGGTGCCCTTATAACTTAAGCAGTTGGGAGAAAACTGACTGAGGCAGCACTGTGTGTTCTCATGGCAGAGAGGACGCCTGGGCCATGTAGAAGTGACTCTAGGAAAGGTGCCCTATGGGAGCAGTGCCTGGGGACACCCCGCAGGTCACAGGAACAGTGCAAGAGAAGATCAGGACCATAGTGAATCAGTAATAATAATGAAACCAGCACTTACATATAGTAGTTATTTGTGCCACTAAGCACTTTGGGATTGGGGTGAAGGGGGTAATAGTTGTATTAGGATATAATTCACATACCATACAGTTCAGTGGCTTTCAATATATTCACAGAGTTATGCAGCCATTACCATAGTCAATTCTGGAACAGTTGTAATTACCCCCAAAGGAAACCCTACATCCCTCAGCCATCAGTCCCAGTCTCTACCACCCTCCAACTCTAGGCAACTTTCTATCTCTGCAGACCTGCCTATTCTGGAGAGTTTCTACAAATGGAATCGTACAGCATGTGGTCCCTGCTGTCTGGCCTCTTGCACTTAGAACCTTTCAGGTTTCAGCCATGTGCACTAATCACTTTACTTGCAGAAGCTGTTTAAACTTACAGCAACCCGAGCGAGCGAGCTACTATTGTTACTAATGTTACTCATTTAGGAAGCGAGGGAACCGAGGACGAGGACAGGAAAGTGGAGTGACTGGCTCACGGCCGCACAGTGAGTGACATCCTTCCTTCTAGTTGTAGAGTTTACAGTCAGCCAGGCTTCCTGTGGTTCTGGATGAAGTCCGTGTTGTTTCTCTGAGGTATTAATCAATTGTTGTGAGCGGCATTAACTTCCCGGTGTTTATCTCTGCCGCCATCTTAGTTTCTCCCTCAGCCATGATTCTTGAAGTAATAAAGGAAAATCTCACTTTCTTACTTTTTTTTTAATTTATAAAGAAAGAATATAAAAATGCCTTTCTATGGCAATTAAAATTCGTCATCTCTGCCTGAAGAAGCAGAGCAGATGGCCTTTAGGTCCCATCCAGCCATTACATAGCATTTGATTGTTTCTTTCACAAAATGTGAGTGACCCACACCATGGGGGGGTGGGGGTGGGGCGGGCGGAGGTTGGTTTCTTCGATTGGTGCCCTTATAACTTAAGCAGTTGGGAGAAAACTGACTGAGGCAGCACTGTGTGTTCTCATGGCAGAGAGGACGCCTGGGCCATGTAGAAGTGACTCTAGGAAAGGTGCCCTATGGGAGCAGTGCCTGGGGACACCCCGCAGGTCACAGGAACAGTGCAAGAGAAGATCAGGACCATAGTGAATCAGTAATAATAATGAAACCAGCACTTACATATAGTAGTTATTTGTGCCACTAAGCACTTTGGGATCGGGGTGAAGGGGGTAATAGTTGCATTAGGATATAATTCACATACCATATAGTTCAGTGGCTTTCAATATATTCACAGAGTTATGCAGCCATTACCATAGTCAATTCTGGAACAGTTGTAATTACCCCCAAAGGAAACCCTACATCCCTCAGCCATCAGTCCCAGTCTCCACCTCCCTCCAACTCTAGGCAACAACCAGTCAACTTTCTATCTCTGCAGACCTGCCTATTCTGGAGAGTTTCTACAAATGGAATTGTACAGCATGTGGTCCCTGCTGTCTGGCCTCTTGCACTTAGAACCTTTCAGGTTTCAGCCATGTGCACTAATCACTTTACTTGCAGAAGCTGTTTAAACTTACAGCAACCCGAGCGAGCGAGCTACTATTGTTACTAATGTTACTCATTTAGGAAGCGAGGGAACCGAGGACGAGGACAGGAAAGTGGAGTGACTGGCTCACGGCCGCACAGTGAGTGACAGACCAGGATTCAGGCCCAGCACTCCGGCCCCATGCCGTGGCCTGAAGCCTCCTTTTCTAAATCAGTGATTTTTTAAAACTACATCTTTATTTTTGTGAAATCTTGATGCCATAAACAAAATCTAATATACAAAGCAGGTAAAAGCTGAGTTGGGTCAGGGGTTGGAGTCTGGGTTCCCCTCAGCCCTTCCCAGTCAGCCATGAGGCACCCATGAAATCCTAGGGCACTGACTGAGAAACGCTGTCTTGGGCCTCGTTTTCTCCAGCTGTAAAATGAGCTCAGTGATCCCTACGCTTCCTGCCTACAGGGCTGGTGGGCAGCAGTGTTTCAGAGGTCAGCAGGGCTGCAGGGCTGAGCTGCACAGTCTGGCTCTCCCAGAGCCTCTGGCCAGGAAGGGATGGCCTGGCATTCCTTGGAGCCCTGTGGCTGCTCTATCCTCAGCTCACCCAGATTTCTCTAAAGTGTGGAAACAAGACCGATCTGTTCTTATACCCAACAAGTTCAAGGAGTTTCTGGTTCCTGTCACCTACTAGAGCTTTATCTCTTCAAACCCGTTTGCCTGTCCCTCAGCCTGGGCCCCAGAAGAAAGATGCTAAGTCATTCAGCTTGTCCTCCAAGCCCTACCTGTCCCCTCCCCTGGGATCCCACGCCACATCCTTATTTTTCACACCTTAGTCTCAAAAGAATTGGGAATAGCGTATTAAAATGTGTATCTGGGGAAAGAAAATGACTTATTAGAGTTAGAAAATTTAGATAAGATCCTTCAGAGTAGCCAAGGGTGGGCAGCAAATGTGGCTCTGAGCTTCTCATCAGCCATGCAAAGAGGGAGATACAAGTGGTTAGCTTATTCCCAGGGTGCACAAGAATAAACACATATTTTCTTGGAAGAAGCAAAGCCTTTTCTGGCACTGAGGGCTGAGGAGAAATTCTGCTGGGGCCTCATAACCGGCAAGATGTGCCTGTGCCATGTAAACAAGATCCTCAAGGTCCCTTAACCATATACTCAGGCCATTAAATATCCCTGGTTGCCAACTGATGGCAGAGCCCTAAAGCAAAGGCTGGGGACAGGGCAGGACAAGGCGGCTTGAGTGAGTGGATTTAATTTAAGAATAAAATTTGCTCTGACCGGTTTGGCTCAGTGGATAGAGCGTTGGTCTGCGGACTCAAGGGTTCCAGGTTCGATTCCGGTCAAGGGCATGTACCTTGGTTGCGGACACATCCCCAGTGGGGAGTGTGCAGGAGGCAGCTGATCGATGTTCCTCTCTCATCGATGTTTCTAACTCTCTATCCCTCCCTTCCTCTCTGTAAAAAAATCAATAAAATATATTTAAAAAAAAAAAAGAATAAAATTTGGCTCTGGTCAGCAGTGGTTTTCAGTAAAGAGCCAGATAGTCAATATCTGAGGCTTTGTGGGACATGTGGTCTCTGTTGCAAGTACTTAGTTCTCCCCTTGTAAAGTGAAACCAGCACACACAGTGCCCAAATGAAGGGGTGTGGTTGTGTCCCAATAAAACTTTATTTACAAAAGCAGGCTGTGAGCTAGATTTGGCCTGTCGGCCATCAGTTGCTAACCCTGGCTCTAGAGGAAATAAAAAGACTATGCAGCCTCTAGGGAAATATGTCTCCTAACTTAGCTTATAGTAAGAATCAAAGAAGAGTTTGAGCTGCTCTCTGGGGAAAGAATGCAGAGTACAGATATTCCTATCAAGAGACAGGTCTTTGAAAGTTGCTCAGGGGGTAGAGGTGGAATCCTGACATAAAAAACAAGACATTCCTTCAGGGCTTGTGACGGAGGGGATGACCGCCTGGCAAACATAGCCCGTGCAGGTGGGGATCTGAGAGGATGGGCTGGTGACCTGGCCAGCACAGTGTAAATAATGTTTATTAGTCCCGCCCTGTACAGGCTGCATCAGCATCACCTAGGAATTAGAAATGCAGATTCTCAAGCCCTACCCAGGCCTGTTGAATGAAGGGCTCAGGGTGTAGGATCCCACAGTCTGCATTTTACCAAGCCTTCCAGGTGCTTCTGCAGCAAGCTCATTTGAGAACTGCCAAGGCCCCAGTCATAACCTCTGTGTTTCTCCTCTTGATCAGGGAAAGATCCAGGGGAGACTCTGAAGCCTGCACCCAAATCCTCTCTGACTGCCAATCTCATTCAGAAAGCCAAGCGCCAGAACAACACCTTCCCGTTGTTTGCTGAGGGACTCACACGGAACCGAACTGCACAGGAGAGAGCCGTGGCCTTGGAGCAACAGGTTCTGATGCTTACCAAGGAGTTAAAGTCTCAGAAGGTGAGCTCTGCCCCAGGCTCCAGGAGACCTCTGGGTGTAGGCCAAACTGTGGGTGGTTGAAAATGCTGGCTGTTGATTACTCAGGGACACGGTGTCACTCAAACAGAAAGCCGCTAAGGGCAGGGTCTCTGGAGGCCTACTGTAATAATTGCCTCTCAGGCTCCTCCTGAAGGACTGTGCATGGTCTGGCCCCACACCCGAAGAGGGACAGTGTGGAGGAGAGTGACCTGGATGCAGGGTCCTGGGAGGTGCCACCAAAGGAACCCAGGATCTTCACCGGGCAGCCGGTAACTGGGCAGGATCTCTGAAGGACTGTCACAGGACAGAGGGAGCAGGCAGTCCTTTGGCCCTGGGGCTGAGTCAGGCCCAACAAGGAACAATAGCAGGGAGGAAGATTTAGGTTTAATAGAGAGAGAAGTTAATGACAGCAGTTAAAAAAAGAAAGCCGCATGTTCATTGTAGAAAACAAATCACATGTATACACAGACATGATAATCATTAAAAAGCCTACAACCCAGAGGGTAGATCGTGTTCCCCCCCAGGGCTACCTCGGGAAGCAGTGAGGGTCCCGTGGCAGGAGGGCAAGGGCGGCTGCAGCACCGGCAGCAGCCTCTCTAGCTAGAGCAGTGCCTGATCCCTGGACCAGCACAGCTTAAGTCCCAAACCCAAACTCAAGCCTGGATTTGAAAAGAAATCTGGACTGTAAAGACCACTTCTCCTTTCACCATATCCTACCCTTCTTTCTAGGAAATCTGGGTGGCCTCCCTTGACTTTGGCCAGTCCTTCTAAGGCATTACCAATTGTCAGATGAAGCTGAGAGGCCCTGGGACACCAAGATTTCACTTAGGTTTGCCCCTAACAGCTCTGCAGCTGTGGAGGACTGACCATTCTTCAGTAAATGAAGGCGAGGTCTTGGAGATTAGTAAGGGCCACCCAGGCTGAGGGCAATTCCCCTGCAGTCTGAGTGAAAATGTCAGGAGGAAGTTGCTCAAGCATTAAAGAATTAGACTTTGTTACTGGTTCACTTGCCAGCAAACCTCATTCCTGTTCTTGAGCAGGTAGTGGGAGGAGAGCAAGTCTTGTGGGTTAGCTTTTGACCCACAATATGAATGGATTTGCATGCTCTCTGACCCATCTCACAAATGCTCTTTGGTCCAGTGCCGTGGTCGGCAAACTGCGATTCGCGAGCCACATGCGGCTCTTTGGCCCCTTGAGTGTGGCTCTTCCACAAAATACCACATGTGGGCGCGCACATACAGTGCGATTGAAACTTCGCAGCCCATGCACAGAAGTCGGTTTTCGGCCTGGGTGAGTCTATTTTGAAGAAGTACTATTGATATTTGGCTCTGTTGCCTAATGAGTTTGCCTACCACTGGTCTAGTAGGTAATTCAGAGCACAGGCATTTAAGTAAGAGGGTGCAGATCCCAATTCAAGCCCTGAGCAAGTCTCTTAACCTCTACATCCTCAGTTTCCTCCTATATAAATGGAGTAATAGCCATGTTTCCTGGAGAGGCCTGTGTCTAGATTCATAAAGCCTGACTGATGCCTGGCCAGCAGTTGCCCAGCAGATTGGGGCTTTGATTATTTTGACTACTGCTAGCATTCCCTGCCTTTCTTGTTGATTCCTTCTGACCTTTGAAGGAATGACACACACGCCTGAGGGGCTCTGAGAAGGACGCTCCTGAGGAGTTCTGGGAATCAGACCTGAGCTGTTGAGGGCTTCCAGGAAATGTGCCTGCGGCGCATAGCAGTGAGGATGGAGGGCCGGCCTTCATTCACACTAGGCAGGGGGTCCCCAGCCCTGCCAACTCTGGGGTTTCACCTCCAGCCCAGACACCAAAACCAGAGGGGAAGGAGAAAAGGAGACCAACTCTTGGCTCAGAGGGGGCGGAGGAGGCTGGCCCAACCTTGGGATGCTGAGCCCTAGGGACTCAGAAACTCAGGTTGGAGAGCAGCTCTCCATCTCACCCTCCCAGTCCAGTCCTTCAGCTGGGAAAACAGCTCCCTGGGCCTCGGGGCTCACATCTACTAGATGCCCCTCCCATGGCCCTTCAGTGGGAAGATACTATCTTTCTACCTGAGGCTACAAGAGACATGGGAGCTGGGGTCGTGCTCTAGCCCAGACAGCCAGGTGGCCATTGCCAGTAACTTCAGTGATCCTTTACAAATTTGTATCTCAAATTCTGTCGGATCTATGGAGGGCCCTGGTCTTTTTCTCCAGGTTCAGGGCTGTCATCACAGGCTGCCTCCTCCATGTTCTCATGGTACAGCCCAGTATCAGACACAACTGCTCTTCAGAAAAAATGGCACGAACTTTCTGGGCCTCCCTGTGTCATATTAAACCACAGGGTGACTCCAATACCCATTAAGTCATTATCTACCCCAGGCCCCTGCAATGCTGGCCCCACAGAGATTTGGACTCAAGAAGATAGTAAGTACCAGATGGCTGCTCGGCCAGGTGACTCTGGCTCGGTGCCCTTGGAGGCGGCAGGTTTGTACCCAGCCTGAAGGCCGTCTGCTCTGGCAGGTGGAAGGCTGTTGTTTATGGTGCTGTTCACCATCTGTTGGCTGCTGGGAATGAGGGACTCCTCCCGGGTCCTGCCTGGGGCCCTGTAGAGCCAACCTAGCTTACGCAGGATGACTTGGTGAAGGCATGTACTTCGTTTAGGAAACAGTGGGGGCAAAGAGCAACACATTATTTCCCTAGAGCCCCAGCCAGATTTCAGAGTCCACTCCCACTGGACAGGATGCAGACGTTAGCGTGCACTCCACATGTTACCTGTTCACTGTCAATAGACACTGGGTGCGTTGTTTACACCTCTTGGGTATTGTTAATAATATTGCCATGAACATGGGTTATTTCCATTTTTAAAGAAATTGAAAGAAGCATTTCAATGTAAAATTCATGAACAAATCATAAAGAAGTGAGGGGTCCTGGATTAGGAGTTGGGAGCACTCTCTCATAGTGTGCTTTTCCACTCGTGGAGATCAACCACGTCCCTTTAGTCCTCTCCCTTCTCCTTTCTTCAGTCTCTGTTTGGCTCCATCCCCCACCCCTTCCTTTCTCCCTATCTCACTGTGGGGCAGGGATTCTCGGGTGGGAGGAGAGCCTCCTGGGCTGGTGTCTTGGTCTTGGACTCTGAGAGGCAGATGTGGGGAGGAGAGACGGCTAGATGTAATGAAATGGGCTTCAGAGTTGACTCTCCCAAAACCTGGGGGGCGCGGGTACACCCACCTGATTCTGAGCCTCCGGCAAGTCTGAACTGTGGTCTGTTGGTATTTCACAGGCAGTTACCAAGGTGATCTCCAAATCTCAGCTGAACCAGAAAATGATTGGGCTTCTCATTTTATCTTGGAGCCACAGGAATGTTAATCTCTCTCAGCAGGGCCCTGGGAAGTGATTTCTTCATTCCTGACATTCTGGTTTGGTTTGCAGCCCTCCCCCACTTCCTGCAACACCCAAGCTCCTCACCTGCTCTTTCATTCAGCTGGGGCTTTGCTTGAGCTGTTGATTCAGTTGTCTGGAACAGCGGTCACCAACCGGTGGTTCGTGAGGTCTAAAAATTTGGCGACTGGTGGTCTGGAAAGCCTTCCCAGCCATCATCTCCCTCCTGCTGCTTGGCCATCTCTGGCCCTTTCCATTCTTTAAACTGATCTGCCTTTCTTAGAAGGTGCTGATCTTCTCCCCACCGCCACCCCAAGCAGAAGTCATTGCTCTCTGCTCTGGGCCCCCACAAACACCTTGCTTCCCACTGTTGCAGGAAATCGCTCTATTAGTGGTTCACCTTTGCTCCCACCTGCCAGGCCCCTTCTGAGCCCCAGCAGTTGGCCCAGGGCTTTGTACTCAGTGGATGCTTGATGAAGGTTGGATGGAAGAGAGAAGCAGAGAAGGGACAGTCACTAGTACTGAGGTGTCAGAAGATGCACACTAATTTTGTCTTGTCATTAACTTATTACATAAAATCATGATTTGGGGCAGTTCTCCAAAATAGAATTGTTCTTAGCCAAGAAAAAAAAATTAAGTACTTTAACATAGACAGTTACCACCTGGGGGCTCAGCGTGTCCCACCTATTGCTAGTGGAAGTGGGCTTCTTGCAATGTCACGAGAACATGAAATTTCTGAGACTCGGACAGGAGAATGAATGGCATTTATTTGCACTCATTAAACCCTTGAGTTTCCAAAGTCTCCTCTCCTCCCTCCACCATGAAAAAAGTGTAGCTGTGTCCTTAGCAGAGCTAGGATTAAAGCTGTTGCCCAAAGTCTCTGTCCCACATTTGCACAGTCCACCACTCCAGCATCAGGCTAGTCCAGTGGTCGGCAAACTGCGGCTTGGCAAACCGCGGCTCGCCAGCCACATGCTGCTCTTTGGCCCCTTGAGTATGGCTCTTTCACAAAATACCGGCTCTTCCACAAAACACCGACTTCTGCGCATGGGCCACGAAGTTTCAATCGCACTGTATGTGCGCACCTGCACGTGGTATTTTGTGGAAGAGCCACACTCAAGGGGCCAAAGAGTCGCATGTGGCTCGCGAGCCGCAGTTTGCCAACCACGGGGCTAGCCTAACTTGTGTTCCAGCTGCAGTCCATCAGTCCATTGCGTATGTGATCCACATGGCCCAGGACCATGCAACTTCTAGGAACATGGGCAAATGCAGGGAAACGGAGCAAAACCAGAGGAAGAAGATAGAATTCCTTTGGGGATTTTAACCTCAGATTTTGAGTCTGCAGCAGCCCCACCTCCTCTGGCCAGTAATCTGTGTTCCAGGTTAGACTGACAGGCTCCTTCCCTGGGTCACCCGACTTTACTGCCTGTGCATCCATCTCCCCCAGTGGTTTTCAGGGAATGAACCGGTGGTTCCCTGGGGAGTGTGAAATCACAGCTTCCTGGTGAAACTGCCCAAATGGCCATGCTTATAGTTTCTGGCCTTCCCTTTGCTCCTTTCGTACTATTAATAACTAGCTAATTACAACAGTGTTCGATGCAGTTAACATGTCTCCAGGAAACTGTGTTTTTCCAGATGAGGCTGACACGGAGCACAGCATTGGCCTAAAGACCCTCCCTACAAGGTTCATGAGGTTCGAGGTTCATGTGGTGCTGGTGGCTGGGCTGCCTGGCTTCTGATCATCTGATCCTGGCCCTGAGTGAATCCACACCGTGCTTTGGGGCAAGGGAAGTCCTGGGGAGGGTGAAGGCTCCCAGTCACGGGGAGCCAGGCCGAGCTTGAGTTTCCATGTGAATCACATGCTTCGCCAAGGAGTAAATCAAGGTCTGCTGCTCTCTAGTGCTCCCTTGCTCCAGCCTTGCGGGCATCGCTTGGTGGGCTTGGGGAGCTGGGCACAAATGGATTGAATGAGGCTTTTTGTATGTGGCTTAGGTGAGTTTTGTCAATGTGTTTCCTCTCTATTGCTGTCTCAGCTCGTAGCAACAGTTTGGGTGCTCTATTCAGAAGGATTCTGAGGCCTCAACTCGGCTTAGCAGGAAGGAGTATTGAGGTTATTACACCTGCCACAGGAGTGAGAGGAGGGAAGAGCAGTGCCTGTGTGCCACGGCACCCCTGCTGTCATTACTGACCAAGCACAGGCCTTGGAGTCTAGATAATTTGGGATTAAATTCCACTCTGCTCTGCTGGGCCTCAGTGTGTTCATCTCCGAAACAGACAGGTGTTACTCAGGATATGGGCTCAGCTGCTGTAACAAAGAAGCCTCAAAGTACTATGGCCTAAACCCATGGTCGACAAACTGCGGCTCGCGAGCCACATGCGGCTCTTTGGCCCCTTGAGTGCGGCTCTTCCTAAGCCTTAGGAATATCCTAATTAAGTTAATAACAATGTACCTACCTATATAGTTTAAGTTTAAAAAATTTGGCTCTCGAAAGAAATTTCAATCGTTGTACTGTTGATATTTGGCTCTGTTGACTAATGAGTTTGCCAACCACTGGCCTAAACCAATTTGGAAGTTTATTTCTCTCTCACATTCTCATGGAAGAGCCCAGAGGTAAGTGAGCAATTCTGAGCTGGTAGGGCAACGTTGCCATCCTCCACATGCAACTTCTGCTGGGAGCCCCACATGGCTGCTGTAGTTCTTGCCTTTTCCCAGCCAGAAGAAAGGGGAACTGGACCAGAGAGCATAGGTGTAGTGATTTCAAAGGTATCTATGACCCAGAGCTGCCCACACCCGGTAGAGGTTGAATTGTCACTTGGTCACACCCAGCTGTAAGCTTAGCTGGGAAATAGAGTCTTGAACTGAGAAACCACGTGTCAAGTTAAAACTCTTGAGCGGAAAAAGAGAGAATGGAGGCTGAGATGAGATGACCAAGAGGGTGATGCCGGCCACCTCCTAGGGCCGTGAAGAGAGCTGGTGAGAACACATGCTTCACCTCTGGCGCCTAGTAGTCCTTCCCTGTGTTCACAGGCGCTTTGTTTCCCTGTCCAGGAGCTGGTGAGGATCCTGCACAAAGCTCTGGAGGCTGCACAGCAGGAGAAGAGGGCAACCAGCGCGTACCTGGCAGCGGCGGAGGACAAGGACCGGCTGGAGCTGGTGCGGCACAAAGTGCGGCAGATCGCGGAGCTGAGCAGGCGGGTGGAGGCCCTGGAACAGGAGCGGGAGAGCCTGGCACAGACGGCGAGCCTGCACGAGCAGCAGGTGCAGGAGCTGCAGCAGCACGTGCAACTGCTCATGGACAAGAACCAGGCCAAACAGCAGGTCATCTGCAAGCTGTCTGAGAAGGTCACCCAGGACTTCATACAGCCCCCTAACCCACTCCTTGTGCCTCCAGACGCTGCCAACAGGGACTTCCTGAGCCAACAGGAAAAGATGGAGCATCTGAAGGTAGGGCCATGCAATAAACCCTTACTGCTGGAATGTTCATATTTGACATAGATGTTGGTGGAAATATTGCTACATACTTGCTAACCTTCTTAACCAGAAGGCCCAATGCAATTTGATCTTTTCATGGCATCCTAGGCTGAAAAGGAAAGGTATCTCTAGCTTAGCAAATTAGGAAGAGCCCAAGATGGGTCAGAACTCCTGAGAACTAGACCACCTATACACCTGGGGCCTGGCCTGGTCAGATTCCTTGGATGTCACGCTGATGCCCTGGGGAGCCTCCATGGTTCCAGGGCGGCCCTCCTCCGGCAGTCCCGCACACAGAACAGGTGACCTGTCGCTGGCTTTGAACTGCTCACAAAGGCACTCATCCCTGCACCTATGCCACATGCTTCACCTGCATCCCTTCATTCAGTCCTCGGACCAGCCCTGTGATGCTGTCACTCATGTGCTCCATGTGCTGAGGCAGTAGGGGAATTGGAACTGGGAGCACACGTTTCTGACTAGTCTGTCTGCTCTGCTGCCGTCCAGCTTTGCCTCCTCTAGCTACTGCCTCCCCCTCGCCCAGGCTGTGGCCCTCACCAGGGAAAGGCTGCCCCCGCCCATAGGCTCCAGTTGTAGCATGGGAGGCAGGAACTTTATTTTAGTCATTAATGGGCTGCTGCGTCTCTCTAGAGGGTAGTAACAAGAGCTGCCAAACAGTTGGAGGCCTGAGGCTTGGGGAGGGTGCTCACAGTCCCACTGTTCCTGAAGGCAGCCAGACAACCAGCCAGGCCTGCCCCAAACCCTGCCACTCGCAGCCACACATGTATACATATGTATAACGGGGAAATCCTGTGCTGCTTCACCAGAGAACTATTTGTAGGGAGCAGGAGAGAAATCCAGGTGCTTTTGAGGGGGCAGATGAGAGAAATGGACTCACTGCATGCTTCCCGCCTGCCCCAGAGAGCTGCCTGGAAGCCTGGACTCACCTAGGAGACTGGGCGTGCCTCTGAATCTGCATGTGCAGGAATTTATCAGCGAGCCCAGACACGAGGAGCCCTGGTTATGATTCACATCATCCAGACTTGTCTTTGTAGCTGATCCTCAGAGGCGCAGCATCTTGTGCTAGGAAGACTTGCATGTCTAGAGGTCTTAGCTGCCATTTTCCTGCTTGCCCTGTAATTGAGAATAGCCAACTTTAAGAAAATGCCCCCTTATTGTTGAAGCTGTTTAATAGTAGAATCATCAACCTTGAATATCAGAGCTGGAAGGACTCAAAAATCTAGTCTGCTCCCCTTCCCCCCTCACCCCCCAACCCCCATTTCTGGCAGAGACAGCGAGTCCTGGAGAGGTGAAGGGACTGGTCCAGGGTCACATAGCATAAGCAGCAGAGTCACAGCTAGATCCCAGGTCTCCCCACACCCAATCCACTGCCTTCCCCACTAGCACACTAGTCTACACAGCATTCCCCAAAGAAATTTCCCAGGTTCCTGATCCCTGTGAACGCAGGCAGGCAGACTCCTTCCTCCGCTCTGTCCCCTGTCCCCTTTCTCCACTTGTGTCTTCCTCCTTTGCTTCACTGGTGACTGTCATGTGGCTTTTCTCTCCTCTGAGATCTCTGTTTCCTCCCTGCAGTTCTGAGCCAAGAAGAACACTCCAGGGAAGGGCGATGAGCTGAATGGGAACACTCCACCCCACACCCACAGCTGTTCCAGGGGTGCTCAACCCTGCCCTGCCTCTACCCGACGCAGCATGTTCCTGCGCCTGGGATGAGGAAAGAGGGATGGGAACAGGAGGCAGGACCAGGTGGTGGTGCAGAGCACACTCCAGCAGCAGACTCCAGTGTCCTTTCACCCGGCAGGAACTTTCGGTTCCTATGGTGGACCAAACACACCTAGGTTTGTCCTGCCTCCCTCTGTCCCATCTGCATGACTGAGGAGAACTTATCTCTCTGTGCTTGTTTCCTCATCTGTAAAGGGAGAATGTTAGCACTTCAGTACTTAGCCCACAGTGCTGTGGTCAAGATGAAATCATGTGCAATAATGAACGTGGGGAGAATGGGCCTGGCACTTAGTAGGAACTCAGGTGTCTGGCAGTTCTTCTCTCTTGCCTGGAGTCTTATTCATTTTCCCAGGAACTTGGGAAGGATCCACAGTAGCAGCAGCCAGAGATCTCTCAACAAGTGGAGGGGAGTGCAGTGGGTACAAGTCACCCTCAGAGAGGTGAGAACTCCAAGAAGGAGATGGCACATGCACTGCACTTCCCCATGCCATCCTTGCACCAAAGGGTCTCAGGTCTGATTCCCAGTCAAGGGCACATGCCTGGGTTGCAGGTTCGATCCCTGGCCCCAATCGGGGTGCATGCAGGAGGCAACCAATTGCTGTGTCTTTCACATCGATGTTTCCCTGTCTCTCCCTCCCTCTCTTCCACTCTCTAAAAATCAATGGAAAAATATCCTCGGGGGGAAGATTAACAAAAGATAAAAATAAAAGAAAGGGTGAGTAACTTGTCCCAGGCTCAGTCGTGAAGGCAGGATTTGTATCCAAGCAGTGTGGCCCTGGAGTCCATGTCCTGGCCGCCGGGCAGCACCTGTGTCATTGACACGTTGTTGTCATACCACCGGCTAGGAGAGGTCAGACCAACCTGCGTGCATTCAGCCAGAAGAATACCAAGGACAGCCTTGAAGGGTAGGACTAGACTTTTGATTTCCAGGTGGATTCCAGTGGGGAGGGAGCTAAGTGCGATGGTTAGGACTTGGCTTTAGAATCAGACAGACCTGGGCTCAGTCACACTCTGCCTTGTACCAACTCTGTGACCTCCGGCAACCAACTCCTCCTTTCAGAGCCTCGGAGACTTCATCTGTGCTATTCTCTTTTTTTCTGTTAATCCTCACCTGAGGATATTTTTCCATTGATTTTTAGGGAGTGTGGAAGAGAGAGGGAAAGACAGAGAGAAACACTGATGTGAGAGAAACACATTATTGGTTGCCTCCTGCATGAGCTCTGACCAGGGCCCAGGCAGGGGAGGAGCCTACAACCAAGGTACATGCCCTTGACTGGAATCGAACCCGGGACCCTTTGGTTTCCAAAACGACACTACCCACTGAGAGAAACCGGCTAGGACTGTGCTATTTTCTGAGCTGCTGGGAGGATTATATGAGATAACGTGCTCAGTGTGGGGGTGTGGAGGTGATGGTGCAGGAAGCCTGCATAGCCTGTGTTTATGAGTCTCTGACTCTCTAGACCAGCGGTTCTCAACCTGTGGGCCGCAACCCCTTTGGGAACGACTCTTTCACAGGGGTCGCCTAAGCCCATTGGAAAACATAAATAATTACATATTGTTTTTGTGATTAATCACTATGCTTTAATTATGTTCAGTTTGTAACAATGAAAATACATCCTGCATATCAGATATTTACATTACAATTCATAACAGTAGCAACATTACAGTTATGAAGTAGCAACGAAAATAATCTTATGGTTGGGGATCACCACAACATGAGGAACTGTATTAAAGGGTCGTGGCATTAGGAAGGTTGAGAACCACTGCTCTAGACACTAAAGTATAAGACTGTCCTGGGAGCAGGGCGTGTCCTCATGCAGCAGACAGGGAGGTCTGCATCAATCTCACTGTCCCTACCACACAGGATATGGAAGTGGGGTCATGAAGGGGAAGCAGGCAGACACTTGCCCAGAAGAGCAGCCAGTGACCCCAGCAGCATTTCCAAGAGAAGGAGCCTAGATTTTGATCTAGGACAGGGACACAGTTGGCTGGGAAGAGGAAGTCCTGGCCAGGAGGAGAGAGCAGAGTGAAAGCAGAGGGCGGTCGGGGTTGGGGACAGCACAAAGAGCCCCAACAGAGTGGTGAGGACAGGCCACTGGATGAAGTCAGCCCAGGGCATATATTTCCCGCTCAGGAGCCCTGGGAACAGGTGGCCCTCCCACTGTGTAACTATCGAGGCCAGTGATGGCGAACCTATGACACGCATGTCAGAGGTGACATGCGAACTCATTTTTTTGGTTGATTTTTTTGTTGTTGTTAAATGGCACTTAAATATATAAAATAAATATCAAAAATATAAGTCTTTGTTTTACTATGGCTGCAAATATAAAAAAATTTGTATATGTGACACGGCACCAGAGTTAAGTTAGGGTTTTTCAAAATGCTGACACGCCGAGCTCGAAAGGTTCGCCATCACTGATCTAGGCAGAAGGCGGCAGACCCTGCGCAACAAATTGAGCTTCTGGGCTGGGAGGGCTCTTGGCCAGAATGAAGAGCCGCCCAGGAAAGGTCAGGATTGCCTATGAGCTGTGCACAGTTGACCTTTCCTGGTAAGGAAACGCCCCAGGCTCGGTGTGATGTTCTTAGTTTCCAGATAAGCCAGGACCTATCCAAAGTCATCCCTGCAATAGTGTCTCTCTCTCACCTACAGCCGGTAAATGGTTCTGGGCGGGAGAGAAGGGCTGAGTGTGAGCTTGTAAATGCCCAGGAATGGCTGGGCATGCTGTGAGAGTGTGTTGTCCATTGCTCCTGCAACGTCCGTCCAAGCAGAATAAAGGCTGAGAGCCCTGGCTGTGGCTGCTCCTTCCTGGGGTGCAGGCTCCCACTTGAACCTCTCAGTGCCTGGCCAGCTTCTCCTCGCACACCCACTGGATAGCCTGGCTCAGAGCGGTGCATCACCGCTGTGTTCATAATCAAAAACAACAGGAGAAAGATGATAACTAAGTTATGGTAAGTTCACCCAATAGAATAGTCATCTGACATCAAAAATGATCACTGGGAAGTTTCTGTAGCAACATAGAAAAGTACTTACCAAGTGACACTAAGTAAAAAAATTCTTCACCCAAAACTGTTCAGTATAATTGCAAATATATGACAAAATAGGCTTATTTTAGAAACAAACATTACCCTTCTCCCAGCTCTCATCTCTCCTCCCCACCCCACCCCCAGGCCTTCATTATAGGGATTGGAGATGGGCTCTGAATCCAAGGGTTTACTACACGGCAGGAAGGGCTCCAAGAAAGAGAGAACCAGCCCAGGGCTGGGGCTGGATTCAGCAGAAGGGGGGGGCGGGGGGGGGCAGTGACAGCACAGGCTCTTGTATGGCCTGTGGTCCTGTTCAGATAAGGACTGCTGTGTTTCAGTCCCTGTACTTACAGTCATAACACATGTGAACTCATAGTCTCGCGCTGCCCAGTGGGGTGGTTGCTATGTGCTCCCTGTGCAGATGAGAAAACAGCAGTCGGTGAGGTCTCCCAGCCAGGAAGTCGGAGCCAGGACTTGAACTCCAGGCTTAGTGCTCTCTTTGCCATTTGATTCTAGGCTCAAGAGTAGAGAAGGGGGCTATCAGCAATTTTGTTTTATTTCAGGTTTCCTTTTCTGTTGCATTATTGGAAATTCCTACAGAAAGGAAGTGTTGGCGGCTCGTGTGAGGGTGAGACGGGGGATGTTTACAGTGCACGTCCTCAGTGCTTTGCCCTCTTCTTCAGGATGACATGGAAGCGTACCAGACCCAGAACCGCTTCCTCAATTCCGAGATCCACCAGGTGACAAAGATCTGGAGAAAGGTGGCTGAGAAGGAGAGGACCCTCCTGATGAAGGTGAGAGGTGGGACCCCTCTTCTGGCTATCTCTCTTCCCGCCACCCTTTCAGTCTCCACCATCTCTCGCGTCTCCCTCCCTCCTCATTACCTGTCTGCTCTCCCTCCCTCCTCATTACCTGTCTGCTCTCCCTCCCTCCTCATTACCTGTCTGCTCTCCCTCAAACTGTGCTCTGATTGCCACTTCTGATCGCACAGGTACAGAGGGAAAGGCAGCGAAGGAAGGGTGTGCATTGTGTGTCCCATGAGGTGGGAGAGAGGTGGTGTGTTGGAGGGGAAGAGCCCATGTGGTGGCAGCAGAGGCACAGGAGCAGTGTCCCGAGCTCCCTGTCCGTCCCCCGGGCACTGCTCGGTGATACACCTCCAGCTCAGTGCAGGCAGCCTGCTCTAGCTAGGCCTGGTGCCCTCGAAGCCTCACCGCAATCCTGAGGCAGATCTGTGTCATCCCCATTGCTCAGATGAAGCGAAGGCACAGAGAAGTTAACTTGCCATAGGCCACCCAGCCAGCAGTAGCTGAACAGAACAGGACCGCAAGCCATACAAGAATCTCTGCTGTCTCTACCCACCCCTCCCTCCTTCTGCTGAGTCCAGCTCCTGCCCTGGGCCAGTTCTCCCTTTCCTGGAGTCTTTCCTGCCTTGGATTCAGAGCCTATCTCCCTTCCCTATATGAAGGGCTGGGAGTAGGGAGGGGAGGGGAGATGAGAGCTGGGAGAAGCATGTGCTGCCTAAAGTCTTCGGGCCTCAGGCCTCTGGGGTAAGCCTAGCCCAACCAAGTGGCCTGACCAGCCCCCACCTCCACCCCACCCCCCACAGTGTGCCTACCTCCAAGCCAAGAACTGCCAGGTGGAGAGCAAGTACCTGGCAGGGCTGCGGAGGCTGCAGGAGGCCATGGGGAGCCAGGGCAGCGAGTGCGCAGAGCTGCTCAGGCAACTCATCCAGGAGGCGCTGCAGTGGGAAGCCAGCGAGGCCTCTGCCGACAGTGTTGAGCTGAGCCCCATCAGGTGAGCCCAGCGTGGCCAGGCCAGGGCGGCTGGGGTGGCCTGGGGGTCCCAGCTGCCCTGCTGACTGTGCGTGGCACCGCACATTTCTTACCTCCTCGCATCTTCAGATAAATGAGCGTCTGGTTGGGATGGGCCGGTTTTACAGCTGAGGCAGTGCAGGCTCAGAGCAGACAGCCCCTTGCCCAAGGCCACACAGCACATTAATGCAGCTGACCTGGGTCTGCCTCCAGAGCTCCGTGTGTTTTTCCCCACTTTCCCAGGATGCCCCCCAGAGGTTTGTCTGAAAGGGGAGGAGAAGGGATAAGCCAGCTGCCTCCCCTGAGCCCAATGGACAAGGACAGTTAAATGTAACAGGCGGCACTGTGGCTGGGAGCCCCGGTCTTGGAGCCACACTTGGGTCTCTCACTGTGTGACCTTAGACAAGTCACTTTACCTCTCAGAGCCTCATGTGTAGCCTCCGCACATGTGTGTATGACCCTGGTAGCAAGAGTACTAGGGTTCAGTGAGATAGCATGTGCAGAGCCCACACAAGGGCAAATGGTGAATAAGTGAACGGCCATCTGGAATGAATCCCCAGCCCTCCCACCTCTGGTTAGCATTGATGCTGTCTCTGCCCCATCCATTTGGGGCTTACTGGCTGTGGAAGTGGGGTTCTATATTGACAGCGCAAGACTCCTTGGGCCGAAGGTAACATGAAGTAGTAAGAGGATCCTTTATATTTGCACAGAGTAAATGTCTCTTCACGCACTTGCTCTGTGCCAGACGCTGTGTAGGCCCCCAGCAGTTAGTAACATAGGATCTCAGTGGGTCTTTATGAGGCAGAGCAGGCGTTTCTCTACCCATTGTACAGAGAACTGAGTGACCTGTCGGAGCTGCATGGCTAACCGGAAGTGAAACGCAGGCAGGAGCCTTGCCCAGGGTGTACCCCTCCCCCATTGCCCCTTATCCGGGGAAGGGATCTGCAAGGGGTTACTAACATGGGCTTTTCCTGGCAGCGAGTATGATGAGTATGGCTTCCAGACGGTGCCCAACTACGAGGTGGAAGACCTGAAGCTGCTGGCCAAGATCCAGGCACTGGAGGTGCACTCCCACCACCTGCTGGCCCATAAGGCTATGGAGCGCCCCCTGCGAGAGCGCTGGGCTGCCCTGGGTGAGCTCGCACCCTCCATGGAGCTCAAGCAGCTGCTGCGGATGGGCGTGTCCCGGGAGCACCGGCCTCGAGTCTGGCGGTGGCTGATCCACCGCCGCGTGCAGCACCTGCAGGCCCCCGGCCGCTACCAGGAGCTGCTGAGCCAAAGCCAGACCTGCAAGCACCCTGCCGCCCGCCAGATCGAGCTGGACCTGAACCGTACCTTCACCAACAACAAGCACTTCACCTGTCCCACCTCCGGCTTCCCTGACAAGCTCCGCCGGGTGCTGTTGGCCTTCTCCTGGCAGAACCCCTCCATCGGCTACTGCCAGGGCCTGAACAGGTGAGCCCCAAGGCCCCAGTGAGGACAGAGCCTTTGTCCTTCAGAGCAGCCCCCTGTCTCTTTGGAGCCTCCCAGAACGCGGAGAGTGAGCCCAGGAGGCTTGATATGATCCCCGCTGTACAGATGGGGACAAGCAGTGAAGGGACACATTCAGGACAGAGGGCCAGAGCTCGGGGCTCCTCATCCCAGGCGCTCTGCTTCGGTTTGTGCTCAGGGAGTGCCACCCCCAGGGAAAGCATGACCAGTCCCCTGGAGTTGTGTTGTGCAAACACAGCTCACAGCTTGTGGAACTGTCTGGGTCAGGGATCATTTGCTTCAAACAAAACCCACTCAGCAGAGCCAAAGGAAAAGAGAATCTGCAAATGTTACAGGGAATCTCACACAAGCCAGGAAAAGAAAATAGAGCTACAGACCACATGGTCATTGGAAGCCGAGGCAACTGCACAGCCCCAGGGGCATCATTCACCCCGCATTCCATGGGGACCAGGTCCCTGTGATTGTGCAGCTGAGAGAGTACTGCTCTGCAGTCCCCCGTGGGGCTGCATGGTCTGTGGCTTCTTGTTCCACATTTCTGCTTCCTTCTCTCTCAGTAGACCAGCCTCTCTGTCCATCATTCTGTGGACATTTAGGGCCTATGGAGGCTGTCGGAATGGAGACCTCAGGCCCTGAGCCTAGAGCCTTCAATGGGTCTCCCTTCTGTCCATGCCTTCCTGTCCCAGATATAAATTCCCAAAGGAAGGAATCCGATGGGCCCAGCCTGGATTCATTTCTCCTTATATCAATACGCAGAAGATCGGGCGTGGAGGGGGTGCCTCGGTAGGGCTGCCCCCTCAGTACTATGGGGGCTCTCATGGATGCCCCCAGTCATCTCAGGAGAAGTTGCACACTCTCAGATATTTCCCAAAGCAAGTTTTGACTCACTTGAAACATACATGCACAAGCAAAATTTACATAAGCCATTCTGCTCTTTTTTCCGATAGTTGTGTGACATTTATTCAACACAGATTAAACATTGAGACTGTCCCTACTCACATGCAAATGGTTCCCATGGGTAGATATTTCTGATACTTTATTTCCAGTCTAAATTGGGTAAAATTGAGTATATACATGTACAATTACTGGGAATTCTGAGTTAAACGCAGAACAGCTCGTCGGTGCTTGAAGAGGCAGGCAAACTCCGATAGCAGAAAGGGGTTACAGGTAAGTAACAAGGAAAGATGCTTCTCCCTGTGTGAAAAGTGGGGGGAGGGGTGCACAGGAGCAGCTGAGGCCCAGAGAGGGGTGACACACACACAGTATTTCTTTACTTCTTTCTCTGAATGCTTTTTTAAAAAAATGATCATTGGTATTTAGAAAAATATCCATGTGACTGCTTTAAATAGGAAGTTAATCGTAGTAGAACCTGTTGTAATGTAGAGGGTGGTGCTTATTCTTCAAACCCTTTCACTTGTTGAGTGCCGCCATCTAGTGGTCACCGTGGGAACTGTGTGTATCCTGTGGAGGACAGACACTGCTTACTAGTATATGCAACAAATCCTGCCTGTTTAGAGGGCGATAGATATGATAATGATTTAGTGCTAATTTAGAGCAAACATTTTAAAGCCATTTCCCTTTAAACTATAAGCAGAGTGCTAAAAATTGTGTCCCATTCTTCCCCCAACCCCCATTACCATACTACCTTCTTTGCAGACCCACTGGGCTCTAAATGCCTTAGGTCTGGCTGCAGCCCTGAGCAGTTTCTAGGCCCTAGTTGGTAGCAGTAGCCTCTCATCACTGACCTTTTAATGTGCAGCAATCTACGCCGATTCTGGCAGCCAGCTCCAGGACTGAGCACATCCAGGCTCTAATGAATGGTGAGGTGGCGAGAACACCAGCATGGACTTGGGGAGCCCTGGGTTCTCTTTCCACTCTGCTTCCAACTGACCGTGTGACCCTGAGCAGGTCATTTTTGGTTCTTGGGCCTCAGTCTTACGGTGTCGGCAATGAATTTATCTAGATTGGCAGGACGTTGCTGCCTGGAGCCTTGTCTTGTGAGAGTTCTGAGGCAGCCTCCACACTCAGTGGGAAGAGTGCCATGACCAGTTAGTTATGTCTGCCTGGGCATAGTCAAAGGGAGTGGTGGCCAGGGTCGTGTACATTTGCTATCCCATATGACCTCTGAACCCGCCACTACCCTCCCCATCTCTGAGAGGGCAGGGCTCTCTCTTTCCCAGGAGACCTGTGACTGTCATCTACTCAGCTCAGACTCATGAGGGTTTGTACAGATATTTTAGCCAGAATGAAGAGAGAGTCTTTTTGAGTCTATGGGAGGGATAAAAGGATTTTTTTTCTTTTGAGAATTGACCCTGTTTCTTTAAAAAATATGAACCTGAGAAGAGGTTGGAGGTCCTGAATCCAATCCAGTAAAAGCCCAGAGAAGCATAAACATCTGGACACTGAAATGTGCTGTGTGCCCGTCGAGAATGTGAGCCTTCCCAACACTGCCAAGGGTGCTCATGGGGTGCACTGTCAAAAGGGGCCGATGCCCCCCTGGACAGCCTTGGCCAGAAGGTCACATGAAGTGTCTTCACTGTAGGATTTCAGAGGCCTTGCTAAGAGATTATGTATCATGGCCTCCAGGAGGTAGCTAGAGTGTGCAGCATGCCCTAAACATCTTTGAACACGTGACCTTGTGTCAACCCAGCATCCTGACAGACAAGGACATTTTGGAAAATGTATTCTTGAATTGGCCCTGGAGGACACATCAGGAAAGATGGGAGAAGTAGAGAAAACAGTACTTTTTCCAGGCAGACTTCCCTGCTCAGCATTGTGGTGTTTCATTACCCAGGATCCCATTGGAGCCCCGTGAAAACTGTAGGGGAGAGGGGAAGCAAATGAGAAAACGATCTCCATGAACTGAGCACCTGGTACATGCCAGACAGCGAGCCACGCACTGTCGGGGCTATCTTCTCACTCCAGATGCCTCTCAGCCCTGGGAGGCAGGTAGTATTAATCCCGCTGCACAGGTGGAAGGCTCAGAGAGGTTTGCACACTTGCAAAGGTCTCAAAGCCTGTGGATATTAAGATGAGATAGCTAGCCCAGCTGGTGTGGCTCAGTGGTTGAGCGTCGACCTTTGAACCAAAAGGTCATGGTTTGATTCCCGGTCAGGGCACATGCCCGGGTTGTGGGCTTGATCCCCAGTGTGGGCGTGCAGGAGGCAGCCAATCAATGATTCTCTCTCATCATTGATGTTTCTCTCTCTCCCTCTCCCTTTCTCTCTGAAATCTATAAAAATATGTTTGTTTTTAAAGATAAGGATAGTTAACAGTTATAAAGAAAGCACTCACCACGTGTCAGGCACTGTGCTGGGCATTTACCATGTGTTCACTGTGTTTATCCTCCTAACAGTCCTGTGATGATTAGGAGGCTGCTGAGGCTCAGAGAAGTTATGTAACTTGCGTAGGGTCACCCAGCAAGGAAGTGGCAGGACCAGGATTCACACCCAGGCAACCAGACTTCACAGCTCCTGCTCTAAGCTGATCCCCCTTGCTGTAGAAGTACCTGACGTAGTACTCCCCAAAAGCATGTTTGTCTTGCCCCAGGTGCCAAAAACAGCAGCCTGGCTATGGAGTGGGGTGGGCAGGACTTCCTCCTGGGACCCAGGGCGCCGCCCCTCTCACTCCTGGCCCGCTTCCCTCCCACACAGGCTGGCAGCCATCGCTCTGCTGGTCCTGGGGGAAGAGGAGAGCGCCTTCTGGTGCCTGGTGGCTGTCGTGGAGACCATCATGCCCGCTGATTACTACAGCAAGACGCTGACAGCATCCCAGGTAAGCAAGGCAGGGAGGGGCTTAGGAGTTATGCAGGTCAGCCCGAGCTGTTCCTACAAGCCAGTGAGTCTCAGAAGTCAGGAATCTCTCAGGCCTCTATTTACCCCTCTGTACAGTGGGCCAGTAGCCCCTCACTGGGATTGCTAGGAAGTGCTGGTGAGCTGACGACCTTTAGAATTGTGGAGTCCCTGCCCACAGAAGACAATTGTTATTCCTGTGGTGACATTAGAAATGGTTGGTTTTCTGGGGAGCAGAGAAGGAAATCTAGTGTCACTTGCTATTTGCCAGTAAAACATTTCAAAATAGAGGTCAGGAAGGTGGAAGATGGGCTTGGGAGGATGGAGGTGGTGGTGATTCTTCACACACACTCATCCTTCCCTACCGTGCAGCACAGCTGCCTCCATCATCTCGCCTCAGCTGTCCACTGAGCACAGGCTGGGCCTGGAGTCCAGTGAGCTGAGAGCCACACTCTCCAGTGTCCAGCTGTGTGGCCTTGGCAAGTGAGATCACCTCTCTGACCCCAGGCTTGTCCACTTTTGAATGGGAGGAGCACTACTGCCTGGGTTTGTTGAGGGGTTTAAGTGAAGCCATTTCAAGCCTCCCATCTCCACTCTCCCACCTCGCCTGCTCTCCCGCCTCACCCCTTGCCCTGTTCTTGCTGCATCAGCACCAGCTGTTTTGTGGGAACTTTCTCACTCCCAGCCCCAAACCTGCCAAGCCATTATCTGCCCATCCATCCTGTTCTGTTTTCCTCCTACGATCCATCGCCCAACTCCAATTCCTCCTCTGGGACATCCACCTGGTGCAGAACGCGCAGGAGGGATGGGTATTCAGGTGTGGAGTAGAAAGGTCAATCAGACATAGGCGGTGAATGCGGTGAAGATGTTTGGCAGGAAAGCCCAGCTCACAGCAGCTTACAGGGGGGATTCTTCTCAGGTAATGACAAAGCTGAAGTCTCCTCCTGGCCCTCTGCTCTGCCATCCTGGCGTGGGCCTTCATCCCCCTGCTCATCATGTGGTCCCAGGGTGGCCCTGGCCCAGGCTGGAGGCAACAGAGGGTGGAAGGCAGGAGCTGGCTCCTTTCCCACAGGCCAGTGCTGTTTCACTAGACCTCCACCCACTCGTCCTTTGATGGCCTTGAAGTAAATCTCAGACATCATATCAGTTCATCCTTCAGAAGGTTCAATGGCATCTTAGATTGAGCGAATTACCCTAGGTTTTGAGCTGGACTCTAGACCTTCACAATGGATGGACCTGGAATCCTGGGAGAGGAAGGAAGGAAGGGGCGGGGGGGAGGTGGGGGTTTGGGCGCGTGTAGCTATGGCCAACAGCTAACACCTGGAAGAGGACTTATGTGGAGGGGAGGGCTGAGAAACAGGGTTACAGGAAAACAAGAGCAGCAGGAGGCTTAATGGGCCTGTCTTGGAGGTGGAAGGTCAACCAGAAAAGAACCATGTCCTAGAGCAGTAGTTCTCAACCTTGGCTGCACATTAGAATCACCTGGGCTCATCTGAGGCCCAGAAATCAGGATTTAAAAAAGATTCCCAGGTGATTCTAATGTGCAGCCAAGGTTGAGAACCACTGTCCTAGAGCCTGGGAAGGAGCCAGTGCTGGGAGTAATGAACCAGGGTCACGTAAAACAAGGATGGAGGCAAGACAGTGACTACTCGGAGCGGCCACTGGCAGCCATTGATGTCCAGGGCAGCAGGACAGTGTGACTCCCCCCAAACATGCTCAGAGCGTCTGTGCCTCAGGCCCAAGTGGGTGTAGAGAAGCAGCTGTGGCATCAGCTGGTACAAGCTGAGCTGCTTGTCTTGAGGTTCAGAGGATAAAGGGGCCAGAATTCCACTGTCCATGACCTTACCATCCCAGAGACCTCCATGGCAAAGCCCGCACTGCAGCCCGGGAGCAGCGAGTGAAGTGCTGCTGTGCCTTCTCCCAGCCAGGCTGCCTGAGCCCTCCGCACACCCCCCTCGCCCCTGGGGGCAGGGCGGGGCCCACGCTGAGGCTCCAGGACTGTGTGGCTGAGTGGGGGGGGGG